TGTCGGTAAAGAAGCTGAAACAAGTATAGGAGCATAAGCAAGTAACATAGAAGCAAAACAAATGGAAGATATTTTAATGGAAGAAGCAAGTAATATAAATGTTGTCATGGAGGGGGAAGTAGCTTTGACTGAACCAGAGGGTGATGGCATGGAAAAATCTGAGAATGTGATGGACCCGAGTGTGATCGCTGCAGAAAGTCAAATTGAATCAGAGGGTGAGACTGATGAGGTTGGTTATGAAGAAATTGAGCGTACTCCTAGTGTCGTGGTGAAGAGAGAAAATCAGAAACTAAAAATTTTATCATCTAAGAAGAAGAGGATTAGAAGGTTTTCTCGTTTCCAACGGTCTCTTTTTGATCATTAGGCATAACAAGTGTGGAAGTATTGACATATTTAAGACTATTTTGTTTTTTTGCTAATTAGGACTACTTGATTTCATTTCATTGTCTTAAAACCTAAACTAATGTTGTTTCTAGTACTGCTTCTAGTATTGGTTAAATGGGTTTTACTGTAACGCCCGTGAACCAAAATGTGTATTTTTGGTTGGTGCGTCAATCGACACACGTGTTTGGACTTGCGAAGAGTCGGGTTCTGGATGTTGCATCGATCGACATAAGTGATGTGCGTCGATCGACGCAAGTTGAAATTGAACCGTTTGGTTCGGTTTTTGATCGCTCGGTTTGGCGATCGGTTTAGGGAACCCTAGGATTCCATTATATAAGCGTGGGGAGCGCATTTTGTGGCTCTTTTGGCCAAAAATCAGAAGACTTAGAGAGAATTGTGAGAGAAGTGACTTTCTTGAGAGAAAAAAACAGTTCTGTCCGATTTTAGAAGGGGAGACGAACGGCTGAGAAGATCGGATCAGATTGGAGCGAAACTTCTAGGATAAGTTCTCCACTCTCGTATCTAGCTTTGGACAAAATCGGTTTTGTCATTTGGATTAGTATTCCGAGAGTAATCGTCGTTTTACTAAGAGATATTTCTGCAGTTTTGGATCTACGATCAGTCTATTTCGAGGGAAGTTTTCCGTTGAACCAGAAGGACTTAGGAGACGATCCACCTATCTATGGAAAGCTCTCTCTGTCTAGTTTCCAGAACAGGTTTCCGATCCTGTTTCTGATGTAATCTCCCTTCTCTGTGTTCTTTAGATGTCAACGTGTCGTTCATGTTTTCTGAGACTGGAATTTCCTGTTTCCAGTTCCGAGCAATGAACTTGCGGGCTGTTTTCCTATCTTTCTGTAAAGATCCAGAAGACGATCTAGATATCATTGGAAAGCCCCTAGTCTTAGCTTTCCAGAACCACCGAGTTCGGTTTAATCTGAAATTTGAAACGCGTGTTATAGCCGTTTTGCCTAAGGTGAGTGCGTGACCATGACTTACTGGGTAAAAGAATGGATCCCAATGCGTTTGTGTGATGATTTGATCATTGATTCTTGTTGATATGGATGATTTCGTGTTATTGGATGTGTTTGTTGATGGTTTCTGTGCAGGAGATCGACACACAATTTTGATTACCGTCAGTTTGACGTACTGACTGTTTCTCGTGTGATTGTTGTGTTATGCGTGTTGATTGTTCATCCTGGTATTGTA